TGTCTTGCCTTTTCCTCGTCTCCAGTCTGCAGCTGCCACCCAACTGCGCCATGGCTGCTGGGGTGTGGCTCAGAGGAGCATTAGGGTTGGAAAAAAGCCTTGTTCTGTTAGTGTTTTGACGGTCCATTAACATGATCTTGGGAAGCTCGGAAGTGCCTGATCTGGAATGTTCTTTGTTACCTTTCCTTTTAGGGTTAGATACAAAAGGGCCATTTAGACAAATAAAGAGGTTTGATTTTCCAACAAGCAAAAGTCCCAACTGCCTTGTTCTGCAGCAAAATCACTCTTTGGCTGGGTCCCTCAGTGCTGGTGATCTTGCTGAGTTAGGAACTCAGTACACTTTCAAAACTTGAGAAGAAGCCAGGTGTCTCACCATCCAATTAGGTGCTCACTTTCCCCAGGTTTCTTTCTCCAAATGGTGCCAAGCCACCCACTGGGGGTGTCCTAGTTTGCTTGGTAGCTGATTTGTAACATCTGGAGCTCCCCTCGGGGTCGGGAGTGGAGCTGCCCCTCCACCTGGCCCCAGTCTAGCTCACACCAGCAGCACCTGAGAGGGAGGCGGGGTCATCGTCAGGGAGCTGGGGGATGGTCCCCTCGTAGAAATGGGTATGTGGGAGCCATGTCATCACCCCAACCTTACTTTCTCCTCCAAATTATAGTGTATAGTTAAGATAGTTAAGATCCAGGAGGTTAATAAAAATTTGTCCTAGAAAGGCAACCTAATACTAAGTCTGCAAATGCTTAACGGGGTTTTGCTCATTTACTGGACTTCAGAAGTGACAGTCGGTTGACTCAAAGGGCAAATGGCTTCAGGTCTTGGTGCTGTTTTAGTAAGAACAGCATTGGGTCATTTTTGGTTAAGATTTAGCACTTACTGGAGTTTTCCAGATGGTGTAAAAATTAGCTTACTTTGACACGGAAAACATACAAGCCTTGTGGGTGTGTTTGTATCAGAGGCACCAGGCAGGCCAGGTGATGGTTGAAAGCCCTCACAGGGCTGCGAAGAACACAGAACTTAGCCCACACCACCTGAAAAATGAATGAACACTTTTGCAATACCTACCAACGGACTTAATTTATACATTTCCAGGGTAATGAGAAGCCCTTTTAAAACTGTAATGCCAGCCTCTTCCCTCAACAAAATAGAATTCCATTTCCTAATATCTGTATCCTCAACCACAGTCAAATCTTCTGGGGAAATACAGCTCTCTTCTCCCCAGTTTATAAGCTGCAAGTAGGGTCCGCTTCTCCCGAGGCCTCCAGCCACAGTCGCCATGAACTTCCGGTCTCTCGGTCACTCTACTTTCATACTGAGTTTTGGCACGGCTGGGAAAACTCAGCTAAAAAAACCACCACCACGATGTTCCAGACATGTTATGCGAGAAGTCTGCTGAAGACTTGAAACTTCACCAGGCAGTGGGCACAGACCCCTTTAATAAAATAATAATCACTAAAATAATTTAAAAATCTAGAAAAGACATCCAAGCTCAGACACTGTGGACAGGGGGCAGGGTGGGGAGAGCTTGAGCATGGCTTGTTTTTGTACGTGGAGGAAACACTGCCACGTCAAACCCACACTATGTAGTTCAAAGAAACAACACAGCCACCAAGGGAGGGAGGAACCGGGCGGAGTCAGCACAGGGGCTGGGATGCTGCTCTGCGCACCGTCACCGCCTGGTCTCTGCTGAGACCTGGGGAAGCCCACGCCCTTCTAACAAAGCCAGACCCTTTCTCCTCCCAGCCCAGCCTCCCCCTCTCCCTTCCGGTGCCAAGTCCTCAGGCCAAGGGTCATGGTTAGAAATGGTCTTCAGTGCGGTTAGGCAGTGGAGGGGTCCCAAGGGCTGGCCAGTTCCCAGTCACTGTGCCCAGGACCTCGGGCCATCACAATATCACGCACTGCAGTTTGTGGGTGCCTGTGGCCCGGTCTCCCCGCCATTTGGTTTTCTTCTTCTTCTTCTGGCTTTTTTCTGGAATCTGTTGCCTTTTGAGACAAGGGAGGGCAGAATAAGGACATTAGAGAGGGCTTTGCTTCTCTCTGCTCTCTCCTCCCCGGTCCCTGGGTCTGCGGCGGCGGCTGGGAGGTCTGTTCTGGCTCTGGAGGGGGAGGGGGCAAAGGTGGGGGAGGGAGAGGAGGACCTGGTCTGGACAGCATCTCTAAGGCAGGGAAAGTGGGAAGGGAGAGAAGGCAGAGCCAAACCCGCCATCCAACTGGTGAGAACTCCTGATACCACACTGTGGCTCCATTCATTTCAATCACAGGCTGTGTTTCTGTTATAGTGTTGGCCCCCGTTTCTGAGTTTCATATTTTAAATAAAATGATGGGTCAACTGAGTAAAAAGCTTTTTACATGTTTTCCTGTGTCTAAAACCTGCCCTCGGAACTAGAGGTCCAGAACCAAGACAGCACACCTCCTGGTGAGGTAGCAGATCCTGACTGGAGGCAAAATGCCCACAAGAACACCATTTAATGAGTGCACGACTGCCAGCTAGAGCATGAGGTGAAGGCTGCAAACCACAGTCCACGCTGGGAATAAAGAGAAAAGGAGGCTGCTGGGTGTGTTGGGGGTGGGTGTGGGGGTGTGTGTGTGCATGCGCAGGCGCTGGGGGCGCTGAGAGCCGCTGTTAAAGCCCTGCCTGTGATTCTGTAACTGAGCAACAGCCTGAGAGGTCACCAGCATGACAACATACTAACACATGATGTCTGAGAACCACTGGTTAGGGAGCTCTGTACAACGAGGATTTTGGAAACAGGGAAGATGGGGGACAGTGAGACCAGCCAGGAGGCCATCTCAGGCATCTAAGCACGAGATGATTGAGGTCTGGAGCCCGACTATGCAAAGGAAGGTAAAAGAGCTGACGGGCTGGGGTTTCTGACAATCCTTGCAGACTGATAGTGTGTGGGGCCTGGTAAGGAGACACACAGGCAACGCCTCCGCACTTGGAGCTGAGAAATCAGAATGTTGGTTGTCCAGGTGAAATGTTCAGGGGCACTCTGACATCAGGGCAGGGAAGAGGAGAGGCACCTACTTTTTAATGTGTTGGCAGCTTTGGTGTTGGGAGAACACCAGGGGCTGGATGGGGGGGCGCTGCCCTCTAGGAGCCTGAGCAGCAAGCCACAGGGGAGGTCAGGGAGGAGGCCCAGCTGGCAGCTCGGGCAGGAAGGTGGGACGGGCAGAGATGGATGGAAGTACAGGAAATCCAAAAACAGGCCCAGAACTGTCCAGCCCGGGCCTCGGACAAGGCGCGTGCTCCTCCAGCCCTCCTGGAGCCCTTCCTGCCACGGAGACCCCGCTTCCAGGCAGGTGAGCATTGCTCACCTAATTACTCTAACCAGGTCATGGAAGGCTTTGTCCACGTTGAGAGGTGGGTCCTTGGCACTGGTTTCAATGTATGGGATCTGGAAGGCAAAGTTCAATTTGGTAAGAGTGTCACTGAGATCCACAAAGCCCTGTTTCCTAAACATGCAAATTCTCAGAGGTCCTGAGGAACCCTTCACAGCCCCCACGAAACCCTGGCTCCTACAACCTCAAGCCCTTGATGGCTTCTCACTCTTTAAAGTCAGAAAGTTTTACTGACAGCTCTGCTGATTCTCTCTTGTCTTCTGGTCACAGAGACATTTAATAGCTGCCTAAAAATAGAATGAAAATGATCTTTTTATACACTTCAAGACTGCTTAATTTATCAAACAGCCACGTGTTCTGATTCTACTCATTTTGCTTTCTGAGGTCTATTTCTCTGCCTTGGGGGCCTTCTGCTCCTCTCTCCAGGCCTTCCAGCGGGGACTCTGGCAGGAAAGGCTGAGGGGAGGCTGGGCCCTGGGCCAGACTCTGCACCCTAACGACCTGGGCAATCTGCACGTCCCACCGCCCACAACCAGCCTGCCTGGCCCAGCTCTTGCGTGGCCTGCATCTATGAGCCTGGAGCTCGGCCATGCTTACGGAAGGCTTATGTCTGCACATCTAAGGCTGAGTCATCATCACCAGTCTGGAAGGCAACAGTGGTCCGGAGATGTGGTGGAGGAGACCCCATAGGGCCATCCATGTCTACCCCAAGTCTCAGGCTGGCACAGGGAGGAGAACAAAGGCCCTGTGAGGTCAGGACACAGCCTTCTATTTTAACAGGGACCCCACAAAGGCAGGAGGCTCACCATCACTCTCCCACGAGGGAAGAGAGTATAAGGTCCAGACAATGCACACAGCCTCCCTAGATGAGATGCAGGTAAGCCGACTATGATTAGACTGAAGAACTTTGGTGTTTTTTGCAACTTTCTCCTGATATAACAAAATTAAGGCATTTCATTATAATAGATTTTAAAAAGAAAAGCACGGTGAAGAAAACAAAACAGATCAACATTTTAAACGATGGCGGTGGATGCTGTGTGACAGGGTAAGTTGTGACTCGAGAGGAGCCCATTGTAAATGATGGCCCGGAACACATCATAAATACCAGGCCATCAACGATCATCACGGGGGATCAGATGTTCCCACACGGCTGTGGCTTCTAGCAGGGGTCTTGCAGGAGCTGACCCAGACACAAGGCACCAAGGACAAAACCTGGACCTTTGAAATCTTCATTCGACAAATATTTGAGCCTCTGATAACCCTGAGGGGAAACTGCCTTCCAACCACTGTTAGGCTGTTAGATTGTGGGCCACTCACTGAGGTGACCGTAGGCTGCTTGGCCTCTCAGGTCTCAACACCCCTGACCTCACTAATTCTCACGTTAACACTCTGAGGTAAGTAAGCAAACATCTCCATGGTGCACTGGGGAGGCAAAGCTCAGAGGGGTGATGTACTGGCCCAAGGCCACACAGTGGCCAACAGAGAATCATGATCTGCACCAGGTACACAGGTGGGAGTGCTGAGGTCCGCTTCAGAGCCTCGTCCAGGTGTGGCATGCACCTCGATAGCTCCCAGGAGCCGGAGTCCAGTGCAACCTTGTGAGGGCAGGAAATTCTTTCCTGTGCTCCCCTAGGGGGAAGTGGGAGGGCAGCGGGGCTGAGATTCCCCTGAGCCCCTTCACGGCCTATAATCCTGCTGGCTCAGTAAATCCCTGGTTCCTGGGGACTCAGACCTCTGCTGCTGGCCGTCCCACTCACAAGCACACTTGTAATACCCCCAGGCCCCCAGACACCTCCACCTTCTTTCTGGGGGTCCTGCTTCTGAAGAAATGCTGATGCACATGATCTGGTTTCTTAGAATTCTAGGACTTCATAGTCACAGGTCTTAAAGTAAACTAAACTGCAATAAACGGCAGTATTATTTGAGTCCACTACAGGGCTAGGAAGCGCCATCTTCCTGCACCAGGTGGGGGCGGCCTGGCTGGGTTAGCTAAAGAGGAACTTGCCTTATGAGCTTGAAAATTAGGGGGGAATGTAGAGCTCAGTGGTAGACTGCATGCTTAGCAAGCACAAGGTCCTGGGCTCAATCCCCAGTCCCTCTGTTAAACAAACAAACAAACAAACAAACCTAACCCCGCCCCCAAATTAAAACAACAACAATAACAAAAAACCCAAAACAAAACAAAACAAAACAAAATTGAAAAATCGAAAATTAGGATAGTAGCTCGCAGGGTCATTTGGTTAAATGATAAATGAGGCAGCGGCATTCACGGTAGGAGAAACAAAGGCTGAGAGACTGGAGACCTGGTTTCTTGTGGGTAGGGAGTGGGGGGTAGGAGGGAACTACTCACCAGCTGTGAGGCCCCTGGAATTCGCTTAGCCCGTTGTCTTATTCCCTTTTCCTTGCAGAATGGGGTTATTGCTACCCCGTGCAGTGCCCTTCCCCCACTGCCGCCCGACACCCGACACCTGGGGCGGTGGGAGGGACACCAGAAGGGGTTTGTGAAGGCCCTGAGCATCAGCTCACTGTATGGGGCCTGAGGCTGTGGAGTTCAGGATGCCGGCCAGTGGAAGGCATGCCTCCCTCCTGTGTGTGAGGTCTGCGTCCAGTGCTAACCCAGAGGTCAGTTCTGGTCCTCACCTAGAGACCACTGAGCACACCTGTCTTGGGTGATCACTCCTTCCTTCTTGAGGCATTTTATTTCCCTGGCCCCCAAGACCCCACTCTGGTCCTCACACAGCACTGACCGCTCAGTCCCTTTTGTTCCTTCCTCCTCACCCCCTCCTCCCACTGCACCAAAGTGCCCCGAGCCTCAGTCCCGGGACCCTGCCCTACCTACACTCATTCACTTGGGTTTCATGGCTTTGTTTTCTTTTACCTTTATGTGTGTGTGTGCATATATATACATAAAATTGAGGTATAATTAATGTATAACATACATTCTATTTGATTCAGGTATACAACATCATGATTCGATATTTGTATATATTGCAAAATGATCACCACAATAAGTCTAGTTAACACTCATCACCACAGAATTTTTCTTGTGATGAGAACTTTTAAGATTTAGTCTGGTTTCATGGATTTAAATTCTACCCACATCCTGCTGATTTCCAATATTTACCTCCAGATAGTCTACCTGACAGCTGTCTTGATATCTCCACTTGATTATCCACTTGGTTCCTCAAACCAAGGATCTAAAACAAGACTCCTGGTCTCCCCCACATGCTCGCTGCTCTGGTCCCCCTGACCAGTTACTGGAACTCCAGTCTTCTGAAAGTTCCTCGGCATCATCCTCAAATCCTCTCTCTCACTCCACATCTAATCTGTAAACAAATCCTGTCAGCTCTCAGAAATCTACCCAGAATCCAACCACTTCTTGCCACGTCCATGAGCCCGACACTGGTCCACGTCAGCCTGCCTGCACGGGGTTCTGGGCAGCCCCCACAGACCTTTCTCCTTACGGCCACCAGAGGGCAGCCATTTGGCCGTGAGCCAGGCCAAGTCACTCAGTCAAAACCCTTGAAAGGTTTCTCTGTCACTCTGAGTAAAAGCCCATCTGGCCTCAAACCACTTCTCTGACCAGCCTCCTGCTACTCACCCTCCTACTCCTTCTGCTATGGCCACACTGGCCTCCTTATGCCCCTTGCTGTTGCTCAAACTCCCACCTCAGGGCCTTTGCACTGATTATTACCTCTGCTGGAACATTCTTTCCCCAGGTATCCAGAGGACATATTCCTTCACCTCCTGTCAGTCCTCGCTGACATGCACCTTCCCAGCGAGGTGCTCCCTGACCACCCACCCGGAAAAGCACTCCACCTCACGTTCCCTACCGCCATCCCTGATTTACTCCACCCCCAGCACATGTCCCCTTCTCACACGTTCTAATCTGCCTCCTCTATTGTCTGTCTGCTGCCACCAGAAGTAAGCGCCCTGAGGCAAGGGTTTTGTTTCCCAGGGTCTAGGACCATTGAATGAACACGTGAATAAACACAGAAAGCAGAGACAAGCAGACCTGTCAGTGAGCCCCCTTCCTCTACTCATAGAGCTGGGCCCACCGGGCAGGGGGAAGGCGCAGCCCTGCAGACATCCCAGGTGGACGCCTACACAACTGACCCATGAGGCCGGGCGCGGCTGTGCTGAGCTGGGGAGGGGTGGGAAGAAGCCCAGCGGCCCCACCATCCAGTGGGCAAAGGGGTATCACAATGAACTGAAAATGAAAATGAAACAGACACAAAACCAAAGATGTCTACTGACACACACTGTGGCCTGGGCAGACCTCGGTTTTATCACTTATAAGATGGAGACAGTGGTACCGACCTCAACGTGTGGCTGGGGGAGTAGATGCTCCCCCAGCACAACCCCAGCACAGAGCAGGGCTCAGGGGAGGCAGCTGAGCCGACGATTCTAACACAGTCAGATGCTGGCTCAGAGAAGGGGACACAAGCCAACCCCCTGCACAGCCCAGCAATGAACCTGCAGCATCAGGGCCAGGAGGTGGCCTGTCCAGCCCACCGTGAGGGTCCCTGCT